TTAACATTTCTTCTTCCCCTTTTTTTTTTTTTTTTTGAGAGGTTTTCGCTATAGGGCGCATGCACTTGCCAGACAGACAGAGAGAGACATAGAGACAGAAAGCGAGAAATCACCCCCCAGAGGGGATGGTCACGCTGCAATCCCTTCTCCTCCATTCTCCTCTTGGGATCTTGGGCACGCACGCACACGCGCCCGGCGTGAGTTCTAAGCCACCGGGTCCGGGATGCGAACCGCGGTCGACTATATGGGAGTCCAGCGACATAGCCATTACGCTAACTGCTGGTTCCCTTCATCTTCATCTGCTACATTTTAAAAGTTTCCTTTAGAAATTCTACATACTGGGACAGGCAGGTGGTGCTCCTATGTAGATGACTGCAGTTCTAGTCCCAGACCAGGTGGCTTAAAACTCACACCCAGTACGTGTGTGTACATGCCCAAAATCCCAAGAGGAGAATGGAGGAGAAGAGACTGTGGCATGGCCACCCTTCCCGGGGTGGGGGGGGATGATTTCTCGCTTTTTGTCTCTCTGTCTCTCTGGCGAGCGCATACGCCCTATAACAAATATCTTTCTCTCTAAAAAAAAAAAAAATAGAAAATTCTACATCCTCTCCATTTCTCCTTTCTGGCTTTATTATTCACCAAAATACCATTGATAACTAGTAATAACACACTGAGCAAGCAATAAGGGTAGGAAAGTATTTTTTTTGTAACAAGGAAAAAGAAAGACATGTTCTGAAGTGAAATTAGGTAATAAAAGATTTCCTTTAAATATTTAAAATAAAAATGCTGGATAAAAACAATGACCAAAGAAGTCGAAGAACCTTATTGTAACGCTGAATCAAATCTTTCTTAAGTTTATCCAATTACTATTCACATTTCTCCAAGTAAATCTTCTGAAAAGATGAAATTTCAACATGTGTGTGTATGTATGAGTGTGTATGTGTATGTATATGTTGTTGTGTGTATTATTATGCAAAGATATTCTTTCTCTGTTGTGCTCATTCACAGCATTGTCTCATAGTTTTTTTTACTATATATATGCAGTACTTCAGACATACTATGTTGACTAGCCAAGAGCAAATCTCTCATAAAGCAATGCTTTTGTGGGAGAACTCTAACCAAGGTATGAAGTAACTTTCTGGACCTTTCCCCATTTGTTAGTTGAGGGCTGCCTGTGTGGTCTAACCCTATTTCAAAAATTCAAAATTATGAAGAGAAAAAAAAAGCAGGTTTTTCAACCACACATATCAACTAACAGGATTT